TATTCTATTCTATTCTATTCTATTCTATTCTATTCTATTCTGTCTAGATGAACATTAACCTTATCATAGCTATCCAAGTTTAATATGGTTAAAGCAGTAAAACGAAATGTTTACAGCTCCAATCTCCCTCCTCCATGCATTCTGCTCCCTTCCTCCCAATTAGTTATAAGCTGTATTTTTATTGCAATTTTACTGTGATTTTATACAACACACACAAACACAAACACACACATATGGAGGGAGAGTGTGTTTGTGTGTGTGTGTTATTTTGATGTTGTAAGCTGCCTAGAGTTCCTTTGCAGCAAATAAATTTAATAAATAAAATAAAAATAAAGAAATGATGGCTAAGGAGTACAGGGAGAAAGTCTCCAATCTGTTGTTTTCTCATATATTCCGTGCAAGAGCTTGAGCTCATTATACCCTGCATAATATGCTGGGAGAGAGGACACTACCACTTCCCATTGCAAATTGCAGAAATATCCCAAAGGGGCTTTTCCAAAAGGCAACTGGACATCCTTGCGTGTGTTTTTTTAAATTGCTTCTAATTCAAGAAGCTTCTTCTGTTCATTTCAGCTCATTTAGTTCAGTTCAGAACAACTGCAATGATTTGCTTAACAACCATGGCAAAAAGCACGTAAAATGGGGCACAGTGCACTTAACAGCTGTCTTGCTTAGCAATGGAAAATTTTGGGCTCAATTATGGTCGTAAGTTGAAGCCTACCTATATTGGGCGAACAGAATGCAGTCAACAATGTAGTTGTTCTTTTTGCTCCTCAATGTTAAACCAGCAATAGCAGCCAACCCCAAATGGCTGATGAGCATCCTTATCAGTGGTGGGATTCAAATTTTTTTACTACCTGTTCTGTGGGTGTGGCTTGGTGGGCATGGCAGGGGAAGGATATTGTAAAATCTCCAGTTCAGAAGTGGGATTTGCCGGTTCTCCAAACTACTCAAAATTTCCGCTACCGGTTCTCCAGAACTGGTCAGAACCTGCTGAATACCACCTCTGATCTTTATATATGAAGAAGATGGCGAGTGGGACCTCGTCGAAACATTGCCAAGATGCTCTCAATCTTACACGGGAAAAGACCCGAACACGCCAAAACCTGCATACCTGTACCTGTGAAAATCTACGAAAACAAATATATCTATATCTATATCTATATCTATATCTATATCTATATCTATATCTATATCTATATCTATATCTATATCTATATCTATATCTATATCTATATCTATAAATCTATATATATTGGGAAGTTGAGAACCTCTTCAAAGATGACTCATAATCAAATAAATAACCTCAAAGGAAATAAGCATCTCTTCTCAATACTTCCACTTGTAAGGCTGGGCTCCCATTAACAGCATGTTAATGCAAAATTTGTTTTAACTGTAAGTTATTAAATAATCTAGACAGAACCGTAGGGACTTGTCCAGCAAGTTGCCAAGAATCAACCTTCATTGAAAGGCTCTCACCCGCTTATAAAGAACTCAGTCAGTCTGACAAAGAAAAAACAAAACGATTTGAGCAGTTTCTGATTTGTATTCTATTTTTTTTTAAAAAAATAATAATGTGCTGTTGCTATGCATCTTCATAATATACTGTAGTTAGACACTTTGGGTATCAAAATAAACCAGAAATAAGTCAGGAAGCTGTAAACAAATTATGTGTGTCTCTTTCTGCTTCACACATGGCTGCAGCTATTCAGCCAATCACACATTGTAATTTGCATCCTAAAACTATGGTTTATTTCCGTCTCCTTTATTATAGGTCATTCTAAGCCAAGAACATACAAATCACATTATGGCTTGGTGTGATGTTTAAACTCGTTCACTATTTTTAGGGAGGGAAGGATTTGCATATCTTTATATGCCAGATTTGGTTCTCTGTGCATATAGTGATGAAATGCTGTCCACATAATGAACAGGGGAAAAAAAACAGTTTATCACTGCTAGCAAAGAGTCATACTATTGGCTTTAATGCAAAAATTAGTCCACATCTTTATAAGGTTTAACAAAATAACAGAGTTGGAAAGGACCTTGGAGGTCTTCTAGTCCAACTCCCTGCTTAAACAGGAAGCCTTATACAATTTCAGAAAAATGGTTGTCCATTTTTTTTCTTAAGGAAAACACTGGAGGTTCTTAAAACCTTCCAGTGTTGGAGCATTTACAACTTCTGGAGGCAAGTTGTTCCACTGGTCAATTGTCCTCACTGTCAGGAAATTTCTCCTTAGTTCTAGGTTGCTTCTCTCCTTGATTAGTTTCCATCCATTGGTTCTTGTTTTGCCTTTTGGTGCTTTGGAGAATAGCTTGACTCCCTCTTCTTTGTGGCAGCCCCTGAGATATTGGAAGACTGCTATCATGTCACCCCTAGTCCTTCTTTTCATCAGACTAGACATACCCAATCCCAGCAACTTTTCTTTATATCTTTTAGCCTCCAGCTCCATAATCATCTTTGTTGCTCTTCTCTGCACTCTTTCTAGAGTCTCAATATCTATTTTACATCATGGCAACCAAAACTGGATGCAGTATTCCAAGTGTGGCCTTACCAAGGCATTATAAAGTGGTATTAACACTTCACGTGATCTTGATTCTATCCCTCTATCACAGGGGTCTTCAAACTTGACAGCTTTAAGACTTGTGGACTTCAACTCCCAGAATTCCTCCTCCAGTCATGTTAGCTCAGGAATTCTGGGAACTGAAGTCTGCAAGCCTTAAACTTTCCAAGTTGGAAGACCCTTGCTCTATCACATCACATAATAGGCATCTCATAATAGCTGAGAATAAAACATACAGTTAATCCAAGACCTGGAAGCTGACTTACTGTCCAATGAGTCATCAATTTCTTCATCAATCTGCTTAAGTGTGCCATCTTTCATCAGTTTTTCAGTAAAAATTCTAGATGGAACCAATTCCCTCATGATTTCACCGTCTTCTTCAGATTTTGCCAGCCATTTTTCACATGGAAATGTGGTTTTCTCAGAACCCTAAAATCACATTATTATTATTTTTTTAAAAAGATAACTATCTTCAGTAGTGAAATGTTTTCAACCCTCAGGTTATATTCGTTCTTAAGTTGAAAGAAAGTGCAACAAATAGAACAGCATGAATAAATTCTATTTATTTCTAAAATGTGCGAGGCCATTTCTGTGGTGACACTCAGTGGGCTAGCAGCTTGTGCTGAGGGAAACAATTGGCTAGCTTTAGATGTTGTGTTCAGTTGGACTGTACTTTTCTGGAATTTAGAAGAGCATGTGTAAAAGGCCCACTGTAGTTGGCAAAACAATGTTATTTAGTATGATACGTAAAGAAAATTCATAGAGGCTTATGCAGTAAACTAAGGGTCTTCAAACTTGGCAGCTTTAAGACTTGTGGACTTCAACTCCCAGAATTCCCCCTCCAGTCATGTTAGCTCAGGAATTCTGGGAGTTGAAGTCCACAAGTCTTCAACTTCCCAAATGTGAAGACTCTTGCAGTAAACCATGGTAAAGCAACCATTTCCTTCAGAAACTGTTTCCAATTCATATTTGAAGGTAATATACAGAAAGTCCTTGACTTACAACAGTTCGTTTAGTGACCATTCAAAATTAATATGTCACTGAAAAAAGTGACTTATTATGACCTTTTTTCACACTTATGACCTCTGCAGCATCCCTATGGTTATGTGATCAAAATTCCGAAGCATGACAACTGATTCCTGTTTATGACGGTTGCAGTGTCCCTGGGCCGGTGATCCCCTTTTGTGACCTTCTGACAAGCAAAGTCAATAGGGAAACCAGATTCACCTAACAACTGTGATACGAACCTAACAATGGCAGCGATTTGCTTAAGAACTGTGGCAAGAAAGATTGTAAAATGGGGCAAATTCACTTAACAACTGTCTTGCTTAGCAACAGAAATTTCGGGCACCACTGTGGTAGTAAATTGAGGATTATCTGCACAGGGAGGTCTCAATTAGTGCAGCTAAGAATTCCACAGAACGATTGCATGATTTGAATTTGCACTATGCTAATTGATATTTCTGTGGAAAATAAGGTGATTGGTTCCGCACCAGTGGTGGGATTCAAACTTTTTTTACTACCGGTTCTGTGTGTCAGGGCTCCAACAAATCCAGCCTCATTCAAAAGTCAAAAGTCTCTAGCCGCATCTCAGAGAAAAGTAAATTGGCTTATTAGAAGTTGCCATGTTGGCGCGTGGCTGGGTGCAGCCGATACTAAATTACATCATACATTTCCCCCTTGACCCTGGTCTTCCCCCCACCCCCTGGATGTGACTTCTCCAATGGGACACATCCGTCTCCAAGAGTCCTCCATCATGCTCTCCAATAACCTTCTTATGCTCCGACAACTGTGGGCTACCGAGGTGATTATCTAGGCATTTCAAGAATGCCTTGTTTTCTCCCACTCCCTTTTTCTGGCAGCTAGAAAGATCAAAAGAATAATCTTTTTAGTTGACACTGTGGGTGCAACATGGCTTGGTGGGTGTGGCTTGTTGGGCATGGCAGGCGAAGGATACTGTAAAATCTCCATTCCCACCCCACTCCAGGGGGAAAGGTTACCACCGGTTCTCTGAACTACTCAAAATTTCCGCTACCAGTTCTCCAGAACTGGTCAGAACCTGCTGAATGCCACCTCTGTTCAGCACCATGAAAATAGGCAATTAAAATGCTTAAAATACAATTGTGATATGTTCATTAATGAAGTAACACAAAAAGAGGGTAAACCACACCCAAAGCATACCTATTGTCTACTGTCCTCAACTTACGACCACAATTGAGCCCAGAATTTCTGTTTGCTAAGTGAAACATTTGTCCCATTTTACAACTCTTCGTGTCACAGTTGTTAAGTGAATCACTGAAGCTGTTCAATTAGTAACACGGTTTGTTAAGTGAATCTGGCTTCCCCATTGACTTTGCTAGTCAGAAAGGGGATCATGTAACCCCGGGACACTGCAACCGTCATAAATGTAGGTCAGTTGCCAAGCACCTGAATTTTCATCACGTGACCACAGGGATTGTCAGCCCCACTGGGTAGATGAGGGTTTGTCCTGAAAAACCACAGTACTTACGATGGTAATTCGCAGTAACCAGGGTTTATTTTCTCAGTTCAGCTCACAACAGTCCCAAAAGGCAACGCTGGATCAATTCCAAGTGAACCTAACGCGGAGAGCAACTGCCTCTCAGTGCTTATTATACTTGCCTGTCAACCCCACCCAGCTGACCTACACCCGTCCAGTACTATCCTCACCTTCACTCCGCATCTACTTACACCTAATGTCAACAAACCCATCACCTACAACCCCCATCACCCTGAAAGCCCAGTTAGGAGTTTCATTGCTCTAACATGGCAGAATAGCAGACATGTCCATGGCCACCGATCCTCTCTGCACGTTGTCAATCATCTCTCTGCATTGAACAGCTGGTGGCTGTTCCCCCAGGTGGCAAGCAAGGAGCAGACACAAAGGACAAGCATGCCTGACTGTTGGGCTCCCAGAACATCTCCATCGTGCGCCCGACAGGGATGCTGCAATGGTCATAAGTGTGAAAGACAGTCATAAGTCCCTTTTTTTGGGTGCTGTTGTATCTGTGAACGGTCACCAAATGAATTGTTGTAAGTCTACCTGTATTCCACTCTTATTCTTCAAATTTTTTACTGAGCTTTTCTTGAATAGAACTTTCCTTGTCTCCATAGCGCACAAATAACGATTAATGTCTAACATCCCATTTACAACGGTGTATGCATGAGCCAATATCACACGTGTGCTAGCTAGCCTTATAATTGAATTTTGGCTTATATTAAACAGGGCCTGTTATCAACTTACAAACTTACACTAAATAGTAGTTCATACTATTAAATTTGTGTCATTGTGACTTATGTGTACAATAAATGCACCATCCATGGTGAACATCATTTGGTTATAATTTCAGTAGGATATTAAAGAGGGAGATGGGCACAGCTAAGGCTGGGAAAATTCCGACTACTCATCAGCAGGCATTAAAAGGATAAAAGATGAATCTATAAAATTGTTCTCCGATTTCTGCTATCCTGTATCGTCGCACACATCTCGTTTTCTCCTGCTGGTAGGAAAATCAGTTGATTCATAAGAGAGAGATCTCATGAACCTGGCAGATGTTAAAACATGATGTCTGTCTAGTTTGATGAAAAGAAGGACTAGGAGTGACATGATAGCAGTGTTCCAATGTCTCAGGGGCTGCCACAAAGAAGAGGGAGTCAAGCTATTCTCCAAAAAAACCTGAGGGCAGGACAAGAAGCAATTGGAAGGAAGGAAACTAATTAAGGATTATATAATATGGAACACATTTTATCAATGGTTAGAGAATAAAAAAAGGAAGCTGGAAATGAAGAAGAATAAAGGAGATTAGAAAATAAGATAAGATAGAGAGATATACGAGATGATAATTGTTAATTCAACTATGATGAGAATAATGAAATGTAAGGTCAATAAGGTACTATCACCAGAAGGGTTGTAAATGCTTAACTGTTAGATGTATTTTAATTCAAAGTTTGGGAAATAATATCAAGGTAAATATGAATGCTCTAAATGGTAAAATGGTGAAAAACGTAGCACAAAGACATTTATACCCACACTGCTTGAGGGGAAAAAAATGGAATGTTTGGATTTTTGAAATTGAAGAATAAAAAAAATTACTATATAGAAAAAAAAGGAGAGACCCAACCTAGAACTAAGGAGACATTTCCTGACAGTCAGAACAATTAATCCATGGAACAACTTGAAGTTGTGAGTGCTCCAACACTGGAAGATTTTAAGAAGAGATTTAGACAACCATTTGTCTAAAATGATATAGGGATTTAGAAGATCTCCAGGATCCCTTCCAACTCTGTAATTCAGTTATCATCTCCAGTCCATGATATTACTATAGATATAGAGCATTTCCATTCTGAGAGGAGAGTTTGTTATCCTCTAGGAAATATTGGTGGTTTCTTCCATCAGAATCACCATATTCCCATTCTAGATTTCCCCCTTCTTGTGCGTTTGATCTGAATAAAGCAGGATCTACTCAAACGCTCCAATATGCCTCTCTCTGCAGCCGTATTCGTTATGACAGAGGCAATGCAATTAGTGGCAGAGAGAAATGTGGCTTTAGCCCTCTGTAGTGCATGCGGTTCCTCCTGCCAGATGCTTTCAATTTAATCTGACCTCATCTCTCCCCCCCACGCAGACACATTGACATGCCTGTTCACAATCTAATCATGTAGCACCAATTTTAGAGGCCTTGGCAGCCGAGCGCTGACCGGTTGTAATATCCTGTGGCGTGATTATGACACCATTGTGCAGCATTTGGGCTTCTCTTTCTCTCTCTCTCTTCCCCTTCCGTCGCATGCTTAAATCACAAAGTTCAGACAGATTAGGCGTAGCTAATAGCAACATTCAGTTTCATCCTGATTAATGAGTGTTTTTTTTTTAGTGAAAGAGTCCGGCAGGAGGGGGTGCAGAGGAAATGCAGGTTGGCTAGTGGCCATGAGCAGCTGTCCAGGGTCCTGAAATTAATCTGTCCACAAGGGAAGACACCAGCAGTTTACAGATACAAAAATCTTATTACTTCTAATCCTGGAAGAGCAGAATAATAGAGTTGGAAGGGACCTTGGAGGTCTACTAGTCCAACCCCCTGTCCAAGCAGGAGAACCTATACCATTCTAGACAAGTGACTATCCAAATTCTTCTTGCATCTACAACTTCTGAAGGCACTAATTGCTCCCTCTATCAGGAAGACTCTCCTTAATTCTAGGTTGCTTCTCTCCTTGATTAGTTTCCATTTGTTGTGTCTTGTCCTGCTTTCAGGTACTTTGAAACAGTAGGTTGACCACCTCTACCTGGCTTAACAGTAGTAACGGCAAGAGGGATCTTGGAGTCCTACTGGACAATCATTTGAATATGAGCCAGCAATTTGAAGCAGCTGCTTTAAGCAGCTGCTTAAAAAGCCAACAGAGTCCTAGGGATAGAATCAAGATCAGGTGAAGTGTTAATACCACTTTATAAGGCCTTGATAAGACCACACTTGGAATATCACATCCAGTTTGGGTTGCTATGATGTAAAACTGAAGTTGTGATTCTACAAAGAGCGCAGAGAAGAGCAACAAAGATGATTAGGGGACTGGACGGTGAAACATATCAAGAACAGTTGCAGGAATTGGGTATGCCTGGTTTAATGAAAAGAAGGACTGGGGGATATAATTGCAGTCTTCCAATATCTCAGGGGCTGCCACAAAGAACAGGGGGTCGGTCAGAGCATATTCATGAACTGGTATAGAGCATGGTAACAAGATCAACCAATGAATAGGCATAGCAACTAAGTCATCCAATGAGAACTGTTTGGAAACTGAAAGTAGGAGTAGCCTAGGAAACTGCAACTACAAGAAACTAATCAAGGAGAGAACCAACCTAGAAATTAGGAAGACATTCCTGACAGTGAGAACAATTAATCAATGGAACAACTTGCCCCCAGTCAACATTGGAGGTTTTTAAGAAGAGATTGGATAACTATTTGTCTGAAATTGTATAATTTTCCTTCCTGAGCAGGGGATTGGACTAGAAGATCTTCAAGGTCCCTTCCAACTCTGTTATCTTTTATGGCAGGCCCTCAACTATTGGAAGACTGCTATCATATCACCCCCAGTTCTTCTTTTCATTAAACTAGCCATGCCCAGTTCCTGCAACCGTTCATTGTATGTTTTAGCCTCCAGTCCCTTCATCCTCTTTTTTGCTCTTCTCTGCACTCTTTCTAGAGTTTCAACAACCTTTTTATATTGTGGTGACCAAAAGCACCTACATTTCTTTCTCACAGTTCACAGCAGAGAGCAGCAGTTAACTGACTTTGGAGAACCCCGCACAATGCTAATCAGATCACCCCAAGCTGAGAGTCTGTCTGGAAATCTAGGAACTGTAGAGTAGTCTAGGATGTTTGAAGTTGGAAAACTTCCTAGGGAGACGACTATGGGAAATCATTTCCATACTGTCCCAAAGGTGCTTTTTCTGGAGGCAACTGGACTTTCTTATTTTTTCCTTTGAAGACATTTCACTTCTCATCCAAGAAGCTTCTTCAGGATGGAAGGATTTATATTCCTTGCAGACAGCTGATCAGATGCATCCTTTTAGAGCAGAGGTCTTCAAACTTGACAGCTTTAAGACTTGTGGACTTCAACTCCCAGAATTCCTCCTCCCATCATGTTAGCTCAGGAATTCTGGGAGCTGAAGTCCACAAATCTTAAACTTGCCAAGTTTGAAGACCCTTGTTTTAGAGGGTCCTTGAAGCACTTGGAGATTGGTTTATCTGTGTCCTCAGGGTGACCCTGGTTCCTGTAGTCTGCAATTTTTCATCTGGAAAACCATTCCTACTCCCACACCATGCAAAGGGTGTTCATCCCAAATTCTGTAGCTAAAAGTCTGTAGAGATTCTCAGTCATCCAGGTCATGGTTGTCTCTATCAACTAAAAAGATACTCCTTTGGTCTTTTTAGCTGCCAGAAAAAGGGATTGGGGAAAAACAAGGCATTCCTCAAATGCCTAGATAATCACCCCGGCAGCCCAAAGTTGTTGGAGCGTAAGAAGGTTATTGGAGAGCAAGATGGATGACTCTTGAAGATAGATGTGTCCCGTTGGAGAAGTCACATCCAGGGAGTGGGGGGAAGACCATGGTCAAGGGGGAAATGTATGATGTAATTTAGTACCGGCTGCACCCAGCTAACGCCAACATGGCCACTTCTAATAATTCAATTTTCTTTTCTCTGAGATGCGGCTAGAGACTTTTGATTTGAATGAGGCTGGATTAGTTGGAGCCCTGACAGTCTCAAAGGTGCTTTTTCAGATTACCAACTGTCTGCAAGGAATATACATCCTTCCATTCTTCACTATCCTGTCAGAGCTGAAGAGGCTTCTTGGATGCAAAACATGTTCAAAAGAAAAAAACCAGAAAGTCCAGTTGCCTCCACCTCTGGGACAACCATGACCTGGATGACTGAGAATCTCTACAGACTTTGAGCTATACAATTTGGGATGGACACCCTTGGGTTGGTGTGGGAGGAGGAATGGATTTCCAGAGGAAAGATTGCAGACTACAAGAACCAGGAGCACTGCTCAGGTGGACCCTGATGACACAGATAAACCTCCAAGTAGCCTCAATGACTTGGTAAAAAGAATGCAAATGACAAGCTGTCTGCAAGAAATATAAATCCTTGTCGGAGCTGAAGCTTCTTGGGTGAGAAGAAAAAATAAAATAAAACAAGGAAGTCCAGTTGCCTCCTGAAAAAAGTACCTTTGGAACAACCATGACTTGGATGACGGAGAATCTCTACAGTCATTTCCCTTATTGTTGCCAAGAAGACTCAAGTGGCCAATGATGAAACCAATGGTTGAGACCGAAGATGGATTTATTGTTCCTTTTTTGGTACACTTTTCTACTTCCACTTGGAGAAAGAAAATAGTTATGGTTGCTATTAGTGTTGTATAATTATCGCTATCACAAGAAAAGGACTGAGAACCAATTGGTGGTGATGGTGGTGGGGAAATGCTGCAATTATCAAGGGAAGGGGTCTTCTCAAATATAGTTTGAGATAAAAGCCTCCATGGGCCTTCTCTAGCATCTGTTGTGACAAAAAGGCTTGGCTGCAGATTCCATCCTCACTTTCTGTGATTTCCTTCTCATTTATTCCTGCTTTGGTATCAAGGCAAGCATTTTTCCCCACATTTTTTGAGCATCTCCTTCTTTCCATCTAATGCTCCTCTCCAACCTGCCCTCTCTGCCTTGGAAGCCATATTTTACTTGGAAGCTTCAAGGCCGCCACATTTAGTGCTTGGGAATTTGGGAGGGGCATTTACAGATTACAGATAATCAGAGCTGGAAAGGACCTTGTAGGTCATCTAGTCCAACCCCCCCCACCCAAGCGGGAGACCCTACCCCATTTCTGACAAATGCCAGTCCAATCTCTTCTTGAAAGTCTCAAGTGATGATGCTCCCACAACTTCTGAGGGCAACTTCTGTTCCATTGGTTGATTGTTCTCACTGTCAGAAAGTTTCTCCTTATTTCCAGGTTGAATCTCTCCTTGTTCAGTTTCCATCCATTGTTCCTTGTCTGGCCTACAGGTGCTTTAGAAAAAAGCTTGACCCCTTCCTCTCTGTGGCAGTAGCCCCTCAAATATTGGAAGACTACTATCATATCTCCCCGGTCCTTCTCTTCACTAGACTAGTCATGCCCAGTTCCCGCAACCCTTCTTCATATGTTTTAGTCTCCAGTTCCCTAATCATCTTGGTTGCTCTTCTCTGCACTTTTTTTTAGAGCCTTGGCATCTTTGTTATAGTGTGGTGACCACACCACATTATAGAATAAAACAGAACAGAAAAGAAAAGAACAGAATGCAAGGTGAGGCAAGGCGAGGCGAGGCAACACAACACAACACAACACAACACAATAACAGAGTTGGAAGGGACCTTGGAGGTCTTCTGGTCCAACCTCTTGCTTAGACAGGAAACCCTATACCATTTCAGACAAATGGTTATCCAATCTCTTCTTTAAAACTTCCAGTATTGAAGAATTCACAACTTCTGGAGGCAAGTTTTCCATTGATTAACTCTCCTCACTGTCAGGAAATTTCTCCTAAGTTCTAGGTTGCTTCTCTCCTTGACTAGTTTCCATCCATTTCTTCTTGTCCTGCCCTCAGGTGCTTTGGAGAATAGCTTGACTCCCTCTTCTTTGTGGCAGCCTCTGAGATACCAGAACACTGCTATCATGTCTCCCTTGGTCCTTCTCTTCCCTAGACTAGCCATGCCCAGTTCCTGCAACCATTCCTCTTCATCATATGTTTTAGCCTCCAGTCCCCTAATCATCTTGGTTGCTCTTCTCTGCACTCTTTCTAGAGTCTGAACATGTTTTTTTTACATAAAGCGACAGTTATTCTTGGAGATATATCTGTCTTCAGCATGCGGATAAAGCAACTGCTGAGGCTAGTAAACTGAAGGCCGTAAGAAGCCAACTGTGCATAATGCATGCCAACACAATCTCATTTGTTCCAGGGAAGGAAGAAAGATGCTGTCACACTTATCTCAGCCTCCCTTGATGGAGCTGCTGGCTCCATTCCATTCATTGACAGCAGCTGACTTCTCAATCTGCTGCAACTTTATTATGTGGCTCTGCTGAGGCAATGTAGTATCTGGAGCTCCTAAAGTGCCTGCAGAAAACTCCCTTCCGTCTACTTGATTTTAAAAAAGAAAAATAATTTGGGTTTCAAAAGGTCTTTTCAAAGAAAGCGAGGGGGGAGAGAGGAAAGAAAGAAAGAAAGAAAGAAAGAAAGAAAGAAAGAAA